GTTCAGATGGTTTATATATAGAATAATGGATATTTGGGATGTACAGACTGGAATCTAATTGACCCCAAGTTAATGGTATTGACCGCTGTGTTGAAGTACTAGAGTGTTTTAGAGATATCTATACGATAAGAATTGTAAATAATATTAATCTGTCAACCCAGCTCCAGGCCGACACAGCTTGGCAGATCGAAACTGCTCCACCATTTGGTATTAAATTCCAGTGCTCCAGCGACAAGCCACTGGAGAGTTATTCTGAGCAATTGAGATGCAGCGAGTCTGTGGGAGAGATGTTGGGCTGAATTACTTTGTTGGTCCAATGATATGGGAGCTTTGCCACAGGAATGGTTTTAATATTGACACTGGGTAGTGCAGCTCTGACATTAGGTTGGTGAGCACAAGATGCCTTTCTTGTCACGAGAAGTCTGAGATAAGCTTTTTGAAAGTGCTGTGGGAAGGCCATGCTGTTGTTGAGGTGTGATGTGTGTGTACATCAGGCATTTAGCACGAACCTTTCATTCCTTGTGATGGAGAGAGAGCGACATTTACCGTGGTGGCACCGTACATGTATCACTCCATACTCTTTGCTCAGAGTGTGGCCCTGCATGTGGTTTAAGTTTCTCACTGGACCCCTGAAATACAAGAAGGAGAGTGTTTGAGGTTTTTCTCAAATTATATGTGACAGTGTAACTATATCATGGATGCTCACTCCCACATACTGTTCACCACGAATCTCACAGTTTTCCTTGTCCTTTTCTGCTCCCCGTTTCTTTGCCCCTCTCCCTTATTGCCTGTGTTTGTGTCTCTCTGGTTTTTCCCTTTATCCTCTTGCTCTGTGTGGGTTTCCCTTGTTCTCTCCTTAGTAATGTGTGTCTTTTCCTCTTTGTGTGTGTGTCTTCATCTCTATTCTATGTGCATTTCTGTCTCTCTCTGTCTGTGCTGTGTTATGTCCTTCGCACTGTCCTCCTCCTGACTTCTGTCTGTGTTAGATTCTCATTCTCGATTTTGCCTTGTGTTCTCTCGTTTCACTGTTGTGTGTCTCTGTCGATGTTCTCAACTGCCTCCCACACTCCGAGCACCACCTTCAATGCCCTACCCCCCCCCCCCCCCCCCCCCGCCCCCCCCTCCATTAAAACCGTTAACCGTTCTTAGCCGCATCTTGGTACCCCAAGACTTTAACAGAATCAGCAGACCATTTTAACCAGCTCTTATCTTCCAAACCTACTCCTGATTATAGCATTATCCTCAAGTGTAAAGGTTACCCCACGCCCCCCAACTTCCCTCAGCTTATTTTCTCTCCTGCGAGTCATTTTCTCACTTTCTAGATTTAGATTTGGATTTTATTATCACTGACCCAATGGGCTCAGTTTCCTTTTCATCCTTCTCCTATTCCTGGACTCGCATCTTTCCCTTGTTGCTGTCCTGTGCCCCCTCACTCGTTCCCACTCTGAACTCATCTTATCTGTGCGACCCACCTCCTGCACCTACACGACCGTACGCCACTGAGATGCAGCCCCATCCATCTCCCCTTCCTGCTCCTCACCTCAGCTGACGTTATTAATGCCTCTCCCCCCATCAAGTTCTGTGCCTTTAAATGCTGCCATCCTCACTCCACCCTTTGAAATGCCCATCCTCGGCAGCTTCTTCCAACCTCTTCTGTTGGGCAGAAGATACAGAAGCTTAAACTAGCAGATTCAAGAACCGTTTCTTCCCCCGCTGTTATCAGGCTTCTGAGATCTCAGATTTAATGTTGATCTTGCTCTTTGTGCACCTTCTGTGCGGCAGTAGCATTGCATCCTTTGCGCTGTCCTATTACCCTGATGCACTTTGTATGGTATGATCTGCCTGTGCTGCACGCAAAACAAAACTTTTCACTGTACCGAGGTACATAAGGCAAAAATAAATCAAATCAAATCAAAAATCTGTACCCAGTCCCACTTTTCTCTCTGTAGCCGCTAACTGTGCTGACACCTCCCAGATGTGTGCGTGTTTTCCCCAGAGCTCCATCTTCGAATCCCTCCAATCTGTTTTCTGCCCCTCCCACAGTACATCTCATCGAAGGCACAATTGACGTCCTACTGTGGGTGTGAAAGGTAAACTGTCCCTCTTGGTCATGATCTGCAGCCTTTCCCACAGCTTGACTACACACCATCTGCCTTGCACCGCTCTCCACTATCATCTGCATTCGCCTGATTCCATTCATATCCGTCTCATCGTGCCCAGAGCATCACTGACAGCGGCTTCTTTTCTAGTTCCGGCACCACTTACTCGGGTCTCCCCAAGAATTAATTCATGGTTCTCTCCTTCCTGTCATCTCCCTGGGCAAAATCATTCATCAGAAAACACCCTCCATCTCCAGGTTGACACCGTCGATTCATCTCTATCTCTCCACTGTTCTCTAAATGATTAGTTTGTTTATCTGAAGTTCTGAACGAGCAGGGAATTCTGAGTCCCCACCAATAGAAAAGAGAGACAATTAGGAATGATGTGCAAGATTTCAGCTGTAACCATTCTCTGATTCTGTGGGTTAGAGGGAATCTACTGAGAGATGGAATTTAAAGTAATAGGTCGTCTGTTTCTAGAGGGAAATCTAACAAAATAGGGAATCTACCTGTCAGAGGGATCTCCTGCTGCAGGTAAACCTAGTAGACAGTTTTCTTCCATTGTGGAAAATCTACTGACAGAGGGGATCCACTTGCAGAGGAAACCGAGAGCGAGAGAGAATCTATTGGCTAGAAGGAATTTAATCGGAGGGGCGATCTATTTTGCAACTGGAAATTTGGGATACTAATTGGGATCAATAGCCACAGGAAAATCCCCCGCTAGGAGTGATCCACTGCCGTAAAGCAGACCAGTACTGTAGGGGATCTATTACGAGACAGGACCGAGTTTACAAGAGATTGGCAGATAGAGGGAATCGAGTGGCAGAGGAAATCTATTACTCTGAGAGATCTTCTGCTGGAAGGAATCTGCTGTTGAGGGGGGAGGGGTGGAATCTGCTATTGAATGGGGGAACTGATGCAAAAAGGGCACTTGCTGCTGGATTCCTAAATCTCTAACCTTTGCCGCGCCTCACGACACAGTACGATAATTGTGCTCCTGAAACTCTGGCATCATAAGCCCCCTCTACCGGGTGGGTGGGGTCGTACTTTCACTTGACTGCGGCCCGAACTCTGGAATTCTCTTCCCACACCTCTTCACCCGTCGACCTCAACTTCCTCCTTTAAAACATTCCTTAAGGCCTACCCTCTCTTGACCCAGCTTTTCGGTCATCTCCTCGCATGTTTACGGCGTCATAGTTTGATTTCGGAATGTTTTGTTCCACTAAAGGTTGCTACACATACCCAGGATATAGTTGCAAGTGGAAATTAGAAATGGAGCAGTGGGGAATGTCTCTGGTGGCTTCTGTTGCTGAGGGTCCTGGGCTTCCTCCTGTGTACGGTTCTGTACGACCGACCCTAAGTCTAACACTAGGTTCCTGTCTTAGAGTTCCCCATGCCACTGCAAACTAATGATGTGCCTGTCGGGTTAATCTTTACTTGTGTTGCAAGGGATGTACCCACCTCTCCTGCTGATGTTAGCAGCCAGCAGTGCTGCGTTATCATCATCGTCATTACCACTCTGATTAATTTCTGTTTCAGGTTTTGGCGAATTGCATGTCCTCCCCGTGTCTGCGTGGGTTTCCTCCGGGTACTCCGGTTTCCTCCCACAGTCCAAAGATGTGCAGGCTAGGCGGATTGGCCATGCTAAATTGCCCGTAGTGTTGAGGGATGTGTAAATTATAGGGGTTATAGGGGGACGGGTCTGGGTGGGATGCTGTGAGGGTCGGTGTGGACTTGTCTGTTTCCACACTGTAGGGATTCTATGATCTGATCATTTCTTACAATGATATTATCACCGCTTCTGAAGTGTGACCATGTAACTTTTCTTAATCCACCTTGAACACTAATCTGCTATTATGAACAATTTTTTCTTATTATTCAGATAAATCCATTCCTAGGCATCCCCAGGACATAGAGAAAAACATGATGACGCTTGTGGTTATTTTGATTTCTGTCTACGGATTGAAATGTTATTCATAGAATCACAGAATCCCTACAGTGTGGAAACAGGCCCTTCGACCCAACAAGTTCACACCGACCCTTGGAGCATCCCACCCAGACCCATCCCCCTATAACCCACCTAATCTACAGACCCCTGAATACTACAGGCAATTTAGCATGGCCAATCCACCTAACCCGCACATCTTTGGACTGTGGGAGGAAACCGGAGCACACCCACACAGACATGGGGAGAATGTGCAAACTCCACACAGACAGTCGCCCGAGGGTGGAATTGAACCCAGGTCCCTGGTGCTGTGAGACAGCAGTGCTAACCACTGAGCCACTGAGCCACCGTGCCACCTTATTATTGAGTAGGATCTCCCTGGGTGGAAGTTGGGAATGAGTGATGGTTATATGCCAGTTGAGTGAGAACCCGGCAGGGTATAATACAGGGAACAAGTAGTCAGAGCAGCGGGAGTCAGTGATGTTCTGAGTTGGAATAAAACTCTGACCGAACTCTGTGTGCTCAGACCCATGTCAAGGTTCACAGTTTGACCCCGCCCTGTATGCCCACCAGGACGTGAATGTGAGGGAGCAGCGTCTTTCTTACCCTTCTCCTCGGCTCCCCTGGCAGACTGGTACAGGTTTGGGCACGTGCCCATGTGAGGAGTTATTGGCGCTGACCCCCCTATGGCTCCAGCCGGTTTGACACAGCTTGACGATCTCGTTTCGCCTGTTGCCCACTGGCCTGTAAAAGGAAGCCGCTGAAGGATTCTGCGCTTTCCTATGGTTCACTCCATAACTCACCATCTGTTTCTCCTAGGGCCAGAAATGCCAGAGCGAAGGACCTCCTGGGCCCCTGTGATAATTGGAGTCCTCTGTGCCGCCTTAACTCTGATCAGTGTGCTGCTGGTCGTGTACCACATCCGCAGAAAGGAAATGCAGTTTGGGTAAGCTCATTGTTCTGGCATTGGACAGCTGTGCATTCCGCTACCTCAGCCCTTAACCTGGGAATTTTGCCCCTAAACCACGCTGCTTTACCTCTCTCCCTCCTCCTTTAGCAATACTCCTTCAACCTCTGTCCCGTCCCTGAGTCACCGTATTCATGCTGCACCCCCCTGAGATATGAGCACAGGAAATCGAGCCTGACTCTCCAGTGCATCAGTGGGGGAGTGCCACACTGTTGGAGATGTCCTTTCTCCATTGAGATGCCCCATCTGTCTGCTCGACATAAAATATCTCATGCCACTAGTCCAAAGAAGAGCAGGGAAGTTTTCTCTTGAGTCCTGGCTAATATTTATCAATCATCTCAGGACATCTCTTGCAGGAGTTCCTCAGGGTAGTGTCCGAGGCCCAACCATCTTCAGCTCTTCATCAATGACCTTCCCTCCCTCACAAGGTCAGAAGTGGGGATGTTCGGCAATGATTGCGCAGGGTTCAGCACCATTCGCAACTCCTCAGATACTGAAGCAGTCCGTGTCCAACTGCAACAAGATCTGGACAATATCTAGGCTTGGGCTGACAAGAAATGCCAGGCAATAACCTTATCAAACAAGAAAGAATCTAACCACCGTTCCTTGACCTTCAATGGTCTTGCCATCACTGAATCCCCCGCTATCAACACCCGGGGGTTACCATTAAAGAGAAACTGTCCTTGATTAGCTGCTTAAGTACTGTGGCAAGAGGAGCAGATGACAGTCTGAGAACTCTGTAGTAAGTAAGTCACCTCATGACTCCTTAACACATGTCACTCAGACACAAATCAAGATGATGAACTACCCTTCACTTGTCTGGATGAGTTCAGCTCCAAAAATACTGAACACTACCCAGGACAAAGCAACCTACTTAATTGGCATCAGATCCATCCCTTTCAACATTCACTCCCCCCACCCCACGCGCCACAGTGCACGAGGAGCAGTGTGTACCATCTACAAGATGCACTCCCTTAGTTCACCCAGTCTCCCTCAAGAGTACCTTCAATGGCCTGTACCACTAAGAAGGACATGGGGTGGCAGATGCACAAGAATGGCATACATTCTCCTGACTTGGAGCTACATTGCTGTGTGACTGGATCAAAATCCAGGACCTCCGTCCTTAACATTACTGTGGGTTTACCTACACCCAAGAAGACAGTCTGGAAGATAGTTCACCACTTCTTTCTCAAGGGTGACTAGGGATGGGCAAGAAATAAGTTAAAAATAAAAGACACTCCATAAGATCAGACTGATAATCCTGTGATCACATTTTTTATTTATTCATTAATGGGATGAGGGTGTTGCTGGCTAGACAGCATTTATTGCCCATACCTAAGAGTCAGCCACATTGCTGTGGGTCTGGAGTCACATGTAGGCCAGATCAGGTAAGGATGGCAGTTTCCTTCCCTAAAGGACGTTAGTGAACCAGATGGGTTTTTCCCCTGACAATCAATAATGGATTCACAGTCATCATTAGATTCGTAATTCCTGATATTTTATTGAATTCAAATTCCACCATCTGTCGTGGTGAGATTTGAACCTGGGTCCCCAGAATATTATCTGGGTCTCTGGATTAACAGTCCAGCGATAATACCACTAGGCCATTGCCTCCCCTTAAATTTCTCCATGTGAGTTTGCTACATGTAAATTGACTACCACATTTCCTGCATTACAATAGTGACTACATTTCTGAAATACTTAATTTACTGTAAAGCACCTTGAGATATCTGGTGGGACTATCGTACGACAAATCCAGCTGCTGACATGTTTCTGGTCCTTCTCTCCACAGAGAGGCCTTTGGCCCTATTTCGGATGGAGTGGGCCAGATGGTACAATACAGGGCAGGAAGAGTCTACAACCGCAGAGGGGCAGAACGCATCGAAGCGACTTGTATGTAAAGCTATTCAATTAATCACTTGCAGATATAGATTTGTCTTTGTCGCCAAAGAAGAATCAAATTGAGTATGTAATCCCAGGTCTTGTAGTTTGGAATAAGCATCACTGTAATCCACTATAATCACAACAAGAATCAGCCTTTCAACTCCTCCATTCAATGTTGCTAGCATCCTCTCATTCCTGAGACTTTCAGACTCAACTGCTCTATAATGGCTTCAAAGAGGTCACCCAAAACTCTGCAGCTTGCAACATTCCCCTATTACTGGGCAAGTACTGAATGTAACAGCCTCATTCTTGTTTTTAAATCACCTCATGGTGTCTACTTTTGGGATCTCCCCTAGTCCCACAACCCCCCCCCCCCCCCACCCCCAGTGATATCTGTGCTCCTCTAATTCTGACCCCTTGTGCAGACCTAGTTATAATTGCCTTATTGGTGCTGTTTACTCGTTTACTATTGACCAATCACTATTGGTAGCCATACCTTCAGTTGCCTAGGCCCCAGGCTCTGGTCTTTCAGTCCCTAGGCCTCTCCACTTTGCTTTTCTGCTTTACGATATTTCATAAAGCCGACATTTCTGGCCAAATAAAAACGGAAATTTCACTGTAGGGTTTCTAAAACAAAAATATATCTTCAAGACAGGATGGTGTGTACCTTGGAGGGTAAATTGCAGCTGGTGGCATTTCCCCTGTAGCTAAAAAAAAATAGGGTGGCACAGTGGTTAGCACTGCTGCCTCACAGTGCCAGGGATCCGGGTTCAATTCCATCCTGGGGTGACAGTCTGTGTGGAGTTTGCACGTGTGTCTGTGTGGGTTTCCTCCGGGTGCTCTGGTTTCCTCCCACAGTCCAAAGATGTGCAGGCTAGGCGGATTGGCCATGCTAAATTGCCCGTAGTGTTCAGGGATGTGTAGCTTAGGTGGGTTATAGGGGGATGGGTCTGGGTGGGATGCTCCAAGGGTCGGTATGGACATGTTGGGCCGAAGGGCCTGTTTCCACACTGTAGGGATTCTTAAAAACAAAATTGCTGGAAGAGCTCATCAGGTTTTGCAGCATCTATGGAGAGAAATCAGAGTTAACATTTCAGGGTCAAGGGAGCCTTCCTCAGAAGCAATGGTAGTTAGGAAAATGTCAATTTTTATGCAGAAACAAGGTGGGGGTAGGGGGTAAGGAGTAAGCAAGAGGTGGGGCTAGAACTCATTTCTGTCGAAATGTTTGTTTGCCTTACCTCGTGTTTCTTCACGTGATTCAGGTTCATATTTTGTTTTATAATGCACCTGCGAAGCACCTCGCAATGTTTCATTACATGAAACGGGCTTTAAAAGTATAAGTTGTTGCTATTCACAGGACCAGAGCATCAGAGTGATGTGCTGTTCAGAGAATTTGAGGAGATTAGGTTCTGCCTTAAGCTGCAGGACATCAAAGGGTCGTTACCTGAGCCACATGTCATTTAGAGAATTAACGACATGATTAAGAAAGTGGTGTGAGAAGACAGTGTTTTGATAATGGGGCAGTTGCATCAGTACCAAGGGGAACTCCAAAGCTGTTCTGTGGGGTTAGTTCAAATGAGTCTGGAACCAATTTTATAACTAGTCAATAACTGGTCAATTGTATAACTAGTGTCACAGGCAGGGTTCTAAGTAACAGTGGGGAGTGGGATGATGGAAGGAGTCGGAGAGACTTAGAAATCAAAAAAGGCATTGGAACAGCATCGCTATGTGTGCATGGAGAGGGGGGGTGCGGGCAGCAAACTAGGAATGAATGGACGAGAGTTCAACAAAAATTGCACATCAGTGAAGAAAATCATTGCAGGTAATGGATTAGAGTTTTTAACAAAGACAGTGTAATAATTGTAGAGACCCTGATCTTTCATATAGAATCAAATGGTCTGGGAGATAGGTTTGTGGCATGCTTTTGTGACAGTTTCTTGAAGCAAAACATTCTAGAACTGACTAGAGATAAAGTTATCCTAGATGCAGTGTTGAGTAATGAGGCAGGGTTTATTAGCAATGACATAGCATAAGATACACTGGGAAATAGTGATCATAACCCAATTGAAGCTTGAAAGTGATTTATTCCAATCAGATACAAGAATCTTAAATTCAAAGCGAATTATATGGATAGGAGGAGAGAACTGGCTCTGGTTAATTAAGCAACTAGACAAAAAAAAAAATTGGTGATAACCAAAGAGTTCAAAACTTTTGAAGAAATAATGCAAAACATTCAACAAAAATACATTCCATTTAAAAACCAAAAGCTCAGTAAGAAAGACCTACCCATGGCTCACTTAGGAATTTGAGGGTAATATTAGATTTAAAGAGGAGGCTTATTAAGTTGCAAAGCATAAGAATAAGTCTGAGGATTGCGAAGCTGACAAAGGGCCAGCAAAAAGTTGTTAAGACTATCAAAACAATTTGTAAGAGCTTTCATAAGCGAATAAAAAAGGAAGAGAGTAGCTGAAGTAAACGTTGGTTGCTTAGAAACAGGAGACAGGAGAAATTTTTGTGGGGGGTGGTGGCTGAAACGTGGAACAAAGACTTTGCTTTTACGGTAAAAGACAAAGGTTCATACTATAATTAGAGGGTAACCTAGGGACTGATAAAAGAATTATGAAATTAATATCAGCAGAGGAAAAGTAGTGACGAACTGTGAGGAACTAAAACCTGACAAATTCCTACGACCCGCGAACCTCAGGTTCTAACAGAGACAGCTGCACGGAGAGTGGATGCACTAACAATGGTTTGTCCAGATTCCCCTAGATTTGGCAATTGTCCCATCGGATTGGATGTTGCCAAATATTAAATCGTTTTCCAAGAAAGGAAGAAGAGAGAAAACTGTGAGCTCCAGGCCAATTACTCATCAGTCATTAGAAAAATGCTGGAATCTGTGCTGAAGTAAGTCTTAACAATGGACTTAGTGAAGCATTGCATGATTAGAACAAGTCAATATGATTTTACTAAGGGGTTATCTAGTTTGACAGATTTCTTAAGAGTTTTTTGAAGATGTAATAATAGGATAGATGAAGGGGGACCAGGACCAGACTATATCTAGAATACCAACAAGTATTTGATAAGGTGACACACAAAGGAAACCTGAGGGGTGATCTTATAGGGGTCTATAAAATCATGAGAGGCATAGATGATAGATAGCCAACAGCTTTTCCAGTAGAAAGAGTCTAAAACAGTAGAGGAGTCTAAAACTAGAGGGCATAGGTTTAAGGTGAGAGGGGAGAAATACAAAAGGGTCCTGAAGGGCAATCTTTTCACACAGATGGTGGTGAGTGTCTGGAATGGGCTGCCAGAGGCAGTGGCAGAAGCAATTGCAATTTTGTCATTGAAACATTTATGTACATGGATGAGCTAAGTACGGTGGGATAGGGACCAAACGCAGGCAAATAGGACTAGACTAATTTGTGAAAACTGGGTGGCAAGGGCAAGCTGGGCTGAAGGGTCTGTAAACCTCTGTGACTCTGTGACTGTGGAGTTTGATAATGCATTACCATAGAGAGGGCATTGCTTAATGGACAAGAGGCAGAGATATAAACAGAGCATATTCAAGTCGGCAAACAGTAAATAATGGAGTGCCACATGGGCCAGTATTGAGGCCTCAGCTATTTTACAGTCAATGTGAATGACGTGGATGAAGAGACAGAGAGTTATGTCTCCGGGGACCCACCTTTCTGCCAGGAGGTGTGTTGCTATCCATGGTTCACTGAGGCAGCTGTATGTGTAAAAATGCAACTGCCTTCAAACAGATCCAGTTTTCATTAGTGGGATGTACAAAATGCAGCTTGTGAAGTTTATACTTTTCAGGAGAAGGTATAAATTGACAAGAGTTCTTCGGAAAGATGTATCCCCAGGGACACCTTGGGAGAGATCAAGTGCTCTTTGGGATTGTTAAAAGTGGACATGACTGTGTGTGAAAAAAGTGGATAAACTAATTGGAGCTGTCAAGTTGCCAGGGCATTTATATCTCCAGACTCTAAAGAGCCTGATGTTTTTGAAAATAATTCAGTCTTTGTTATTCCATTCCGCTACAGGATTTGTGCTGCTTGACTGACTTCACAAGCTCTCATTATCACAGTCGGGTACCTGTCAGGTCAGCGTTCAATTGATAGCTCCAAGTGTTTAAAAAGGCTTTGGAATGGGGTAATAAATACAAAGGCTTCTTTTTTTTTTGTTTCTGTAAGGAATTAGGTAGTTGAAGAAGTTTAAATCTAGCGAATGGACTTCTATCATGAGAGTGTTTATTTTTAAACAGTGAAATCATCCTAGGCTCTTTGAACTTTATTTCATCTCATCAGTTCTGAGGTCTACTCAAGATAGCTATTGGCATGGAGGATGTAAAGGCAAGCAATGTTGTGTATGGGGCTTGAGTTGGCATGGCGGGCGTAAGGGGAGTGAGTCATGGGGATGGGGGTAGAGAGGCATAAGTTGTTACCGAGATTTTGTGGGGTGTGTGTGTGATTGGCTGGGGTTGGCACAGACAAAATGTGGGAAGTGTTTGTGGATGTGAGTGTTGAGGGCTAGACATGTAGGGCTGTTTTTTTTTTGTTTTAATCTTTCCCTTACGAATTATCAGATCATCAGGGTGGTCCTCAACAAAGTGGTGATCGCTGCAGCATTTCTGGATGGGGTGACAGCAGACCCATGTCCCATTAACGCCCACCCCTCCAGGAACACAAATCTGGCAGCATCTGTGGAGAGAGAGAGAGAGAGAGACAGAGTTCGCATTTCACGTGTCTCTTCCTCAGAACACCAGTTCACCTGCTGAGTTTCTCCAGCATTCTCCGTGTCTGTTTCAGATTTCCAGTATTACGTTTTTATTGAAGAAGAAGGGTGAAACTATTAAAATATCAAAGGCTTTACCAGACCAGGAGCCAATGTAGGTCAAAAAGTGCAGGCATTATAATCTTTAATGATACTGCCATCTTTAATGATACTGCCATCTTTAATGATACCGTCAGTGACCGCTCATGGACTTTTGCCCTATTTCCAATTAGATGCCCTCAGATACATGCACTGTGGGGCATAAGGAATAACTCTGTCTCCACCTTCCAATTCCAAGTTGGATTTAAGTGTTCACGCATCCCACCTGAGAGAGGCAGACATCTTGGATTGTCAGTGTCAATAGGGTGAAAATGGTCAGCGAGCAGACCGGGATGAGCGTGGATTAAAGGGCAGGCGTAACAGGCAAGACAGAAAATATAGTGACAGAAAACAGGGTTTTATTAGAGTGTGTGGCAACTGGCAGAAACCCTGGTAACCAAGCAACACATTGAAAGGGATTGACAAAAGGCCCAGAAATGAAATTGAGAGTACTGAGCTAGATGATCTGAAATGCTCTACCTGAGACGTTTCAGAAAGAAAATTGGATACATACTTGAAGTGGAGATGATCGCAGGGTTCTGGGAAAAGAGTGGGGAAATGGGACTAATTGGGTAGCTTTCTCAAAGTGTTAGGAAAAGAGGTTCCTTCTGTGTTGTAATGGTCTGTTTTTCAGAAGACTAGATGTGAAAAGTGAATAGATAATTAGAGGACATGAAGAGCAATATTAACTTACGATGACTCAAAATAATTTGTATTTCAAATGTTACGTTTCAAACGTGTCATCTGGCTGTTTCATGCTGCCGCTTAACGGTAGTAACACGAATGGGTTCATCACTAACAGGATCTGCTGTTAAATCAGAAAGACATTCCGCCGAACAGACAAATGGTATATCAGTTTCAGTGCCAGTCTGATGCCATATGTCCCAAAGGCCGCAGGATTGTGTCAGAGAGCATAATCCTTTCATCTGCTCACAACAAAGTAAGTACTAGCTGTACCCAGACCAGCCTGCGCTTGTAAAATGTGCAACTCAGCGCCCCAGCATTAAATATATGATTCTGCAATTGAACAGCATTTGCTGAATAATCCTGAATGTGTTCCAAGAATTAAACTGATGACACGTCCAGCAATGTTACTCAGGCTTGCAGTATGGCGAACGTGAGTGCTCTGGAACCTACATGTATTAATAGACAGGGCCTTTTACAGGCAGAGAGAACAAGTACAACTCACTGTGTTTCAACTAAATGAAGAAATGGCAACCATTCGCTGGTCGGCTTCTCAGGGGAAAATGCCTAGACCAATCAGGGTTAAACTACCAGGTTTAAAGTGTAACTGAAGCCTGGAAGTCAATTGTCAATCATCATTAAGTTGTGCATTCTCCATGGCCAACACTTCTACCAGTCAAGGCCAAATTGCCAATCAAGGAGCACTCTCCTCTCTCGTGGGGTATGAATGTTGGGTTTTTTTTCTCCCTTGAAAATGGTATTTTTGCAAAGTGTCCTGGTGAGGTCAAAATGCAAAGTTTCAACAAAATGTGTCTTTTGTCAGCAATATTCAGTTTATATTTCGGAGGAAGTGAAGTCTAAAACAGAATTCTAACTATTTTAACCAGTTGTTCCCACTGGCGGGTGTAACTAGAACAAGGGGGCATAGCCTCAAAATAAGGAGGGGGGGGTGCAGATTTAGGGCTGAGTTGGGGAGGAACTTCTTCACCCAAAGGGTTGTGAATTTGTGGAATTCCCTGCCCAGTGAAGCAGTTGAGGCTTTCTCGTTGAATGTTTTTAAGGCAAAGATAGATTTTTGAACAGTAAAGGAATTAAGGGTGACGGTGAGCAGGCGGGTAAGTGAAACTGAGTCCACAAAAAGATCAGCCGTGATCTTATTGAATGGCGGAGCAGGCTGGACGGGCCAGATGGCCTACTCCTGGTCCTAGTTCTTATGTTATTAACTCTAACTAGTTAATATCTTTATGAAAAGGATACAGACATTATGATTTGGGTGCGTTGAGCATTGGTGCACAGCTTTTTCAGCTTGTACCTCCTCAGCCGCTTAATTTATCAAAACTAAATCTAACCCTTTCTTGAATTTTCTAACACTATCCGCCCCCACTATCTCTGTGTACAGTATGTTCCACACATTCACCTCCTTTTGCATCAAAAACTTAACACACAACCATCTGTTCATCTACCTTTACATTAATCACGTTGTCAAAATAGCACAAACAGGAATCGGCATGAGCCCCCATTGTGCTTAAAATAGCACACAGAGAGGAATCTGAACCTGTGTAAAACCCATTGCTGCTTGTATTGCTGCAGTCAGGGTTCAATAATCAGTTTCTTATGTTTGCCTCATACAGATTGTAATGATCCATTGATAGATCATTTGAGGTGGACTGTAGTATTATTTAAGTGCAACAGATCCAGCTCAACTCTAATGCAGTATTAATCAGAAAGTGTGATTGTTAGATGTGGGTGGTGCTGACATTCCAGGATAATCAAGTCAATGCTTGCTGAGGGAAAGGAAGAGCTAATACATCAGAAATAATATTTTGCTATCTTGTCATTCAGTCACTCACTCCAGTTAAGAGCAACTTCCTGTACTCATTCAGTTGCCTCCTTTAGCTTCTTGCACTATCCTGGTATTGTGCAATATCTCTCCCAGTAATCTCTCTGCTCTTTCAAATATACTGCATAATTTCCCAGTGAGTCTGTATGTGTCTCTCTGCTCTTCCCAATGTGGTACACATCTCCCAGTAATTCTGTGTGTATCTCTCTGCTTTTCCAAATGTGCTGCACAATCTCCCATTATTCTGTGTGTCTCTGTCTGTAGTCCCCAGTATTGTATCCATCTGTCAGTGATTCTGTCTCTCTCTCCCTCTCTCCCCCATGTTTGCTCTTCCCAATGTGGTACCCATCTCTCAGTGATTCTGTGTCACTCTCTCTCTGGCACTCTCTGTCTACTCTTCCCAATGTGGTACCCATCTCTCAGTGATTCTGTGATGTCTCTCTCTCTCTCCCTCTCTCTCTCTCTCTGTTTATCCTTTCCAATATGGTACCTATCTCTCAGTGGTTCTGTGTGAGTCTGCCTGTCTGTTTTTCCTGATGTGGTACCTGTCTCCCAGTAGTCCTGTGAGGGAAGGTTTACGAAGAAGGAAGGGAGGGGAGGCAGGTGGTGCTGAGATAATAGGGGAGGAAGATCTTGTGAGAGCTCCGTCCAGCTTGTTCCTGACTCCGTCCGATGGTCCCAGAAGCAGTTTGTGTTGGTAACTGTGGCTCACCTGCCAGTGGTGCGAAGCCCAGTGAAGTTTCTTAAACAGGCATTTGGCAAATTATTGCCAAGGAAGTGTGATTCTGATGGTATGGATCCCACCACAGGTCAGCAACAAGGTGGAGGCAGCTGTGTGGCCTTTGGGCATAACACCATGGAAACAAGGCACGGCCTGACTGGAATTGAAGCTGTTTGGTCAAGGCCATGGCCTGGCAGAGGATTGTCAGAAGGAGCAGCTCCCACACGCTGTCCTCAATGGCTCCAGCTTCCCTCAGCCCCTCCTCGATCCCACCAACCCAGCTGCACCCTCTTTAGAGGCATGCCCCTCATCAAACCTGTCCGTGGTGCCACCAGGCCTTGGGAAACAGGCCCAAAAACGCTCCCCCACCCGAAAATATTCCATGCCTGAGAAATTCTGCGGTGTTCATCAGTAATTTTGTTGGTGTGTCTCTGTGTGTGTGTGTGTATGTCTGAGTCTATGTGTTTGTGTGTGTGTCTGTGTGTGTGTGTTTGATTGTGAGTGTATGTGTGAGTGTGTGTGTGTATATGTGGGTGTGAATGTGTGTGTTTGTCTGTGTGTGAGAGTATGTGTGTGTGTATATGTGGGTGTGAATGTGTGTGTGTGTGTCTGTGTGTGAGTGTTGTGTGTGTGGGAGTGTGTGTGTATGAGAGTGTGTGTGTGCGTGTGTGTGGGTGTGTGTGTGTGTGTGTGAGAGTGTGTTTGTGTGTGTGTGTGCGCGCACCTCACTGTCTGTGTGTGTGTGTGTGTGTCTGTGCATGTGTGGGTTTGTGTGTGTATATGTGTGTGTGTGGGTGTCTGTGTGTGTGTGTGTGTGTGGGTGTCTGTGTGTGTGTATATGTGGGGGTGTGTGTGTGTGTGTGTCTGTGTGCGAGTGTGGGTGTGTGTGTGGGTGTGTGAACGTGTGTGTGTGTGTGTGTATGTGCGTGTGTGAGTCTGTGTGCACCTCACTAAATATGTGTGTGTGTGTGTGCATGCGCACACACCTCCCTCTGTGAGTGCCGCTCTTTGTGTGTGTGTGTGAAGGTCGATGTGCTACCTTAGTAACAGTGATTTGTTTCCTTGTCTTGATACAGTCGACACTTTGGGAATCAGCGACGCTTTGAAGCAGAAGCTGGAAGATATTTTCATTCATGAGCGACAGCTGGAGCTGGGGCGCACGCTGGGTAGAGGTCAGCCTGTGTGCCCTCGTTTCTCCCTCCCTCCCTCTCCTGCACTGGGCTGGATCCTGGTGCTGCTTAGCCCATTTCGGGGGGCTCTTCCAGCACAGCGGGAGACCGCACCTGCAGAAAAGGTGTGGTCCAGAGCAGCATTCCCCCTTTCTGAGCCATGGGTTCAAATCCCACTTGAGCCCATTGCTCAAGTTGGCGCTGCCGTCAGGTGAACATACAGAACCCTCAGGTCATTTTTTCTCTAAAGCAGCCAACCTATCTCGACAGTGAAACAGGTTCCCTGTTCATTACTGTCCAGCCCCATCTCTGGCAGCTTGCTGCGTGCAAATTGGCTTCTGGGTCCCCGGCCTTACAGCACACCTCGCTTCAGGAATATTCCATTGGCTTCAGAATGTCAGAGGTGCTCCATAAATGCATGTCTTTCTTTCGTGGTTGTTATAGATTGGGCCTGTACGTTAAGTCACTGGATGGCGTCCCTAGCCCGCGCCTTTTTTATTAGCCACCGTGTTACTGCCTGACTTGGCATCGAGTGTTTCCGTTTTTAATTTCCAGGGGAGTTCGGCTCGGTCAAGGAGGCTTACTTAAAGATGGAAGACGGGTCCTCTCAAAGGTTGGCTGTGAAAATGCTAAAAAGTAAGTGCAAATTGAGGTTCGCAGTGCGATAACAGCAGCAAGGTCTTGAGAGAGCTGGAAGGAGACCAGCTCTGGAGTGCTGCATGCACGTTTGGTCCCCCTGCTTGAGGAAGAATGTAGCTGCATTTTAAACAGTACAGAGCGGGTTCACGTGACTGACTGTATAAGCAAGATACTGTGGTGCTGGAGACCTGAAATGAAAGCAGGAAGTGCTGGAGAAACTCAAGCTTTTTTTTAATCAAATTCATTCATGGGATGTGGGCCGGGCCCGGCATTTATTCCCCCGACCCTAGTTGCCCCTTGAGAAGGTGGTGGTGAGCTGCCTTCTTGAACCGCTGCAGTCCACGTGCTGTGGGTTGACCCACAACGCCCTTAGGGAGGGAATTCCAGGATTTTGACCCAGCGACAGTGAAGGAACGGCGATATAGTTTCGTAACAGCATCTGTGGAGAGAGGAACAGAATTAATGAGTTGAATCCAATAGGATTTTTCTTTGGAACTAGGAAGGTGGGGGCCTTTATGAAGGAAGTTCAGTCCCTTATTCACTAGCACTTAGTTATGTAAGAGCCGACCGATGGAAACATATGATATGACAGGATGGATGCTTGAAAGGATGTTTTCCCTTGTGGGACAAACTGAAACTAGGGGGAAATAATCAGTCTCTCGTTTCAGACTGGGAAGAGGAGAAGTTTTTGTCTCTCTCAGAGGATTGTTTGTGGCCTTCCCATCCCCAGAGAGAGAGCTGCAGAGACCAGGTCATTGAATATACAACAAGGTTTGTTTTAACCGGCACTTTATGTACCAGCACTGTCAATAAACTGGCAAAAAAAAAACCTCAAATACTGCGAAGTTTTTACTGTTATATCCTGTCCAGTTATTTTAGTTCTTAAATTTATTGACCTCAGTGTTAGTATACTTGTCGTTCAATCAAATGGGCCCACAAAATATCAACAGTTGATTCAATTTTAACTCGATTTCTCTTCAAATACCACAATCTACTGTGATACCCAAGTAGTCATACAGCACAGCAAAGTCCAACCAGTCCATGCTGACCATAATCCCAAACTAAACTAGTCCCACCTACCTGCTCCTGCCCCATATCCCTCCAAACCTTTCCTATTCATGTACTTATCCAAATGTCTTTTAAACGTGTAATTGTACCCACATCCGCCACTTCCTCAGAAAGTTCGTTCCATACGCGAACCATCCTCTGTGTAAAAACAATTTGCCCCTCGTGTCTTTTTTAAATCTCTCTCCTCTCACCTTAAAAATGTGCCCCCCTGGTCTTGAAAAGCCCCATCCTAGGGAATTAGATACTTACCATTAACCCTATCTGTTCCCCTCATAATTTTATAAACTTCTATAAGGTCTCCTGTGAACCTTCTACACTCCAGTGAAAAATGTGCCAGCCTCTCCTTTTAACCCTAACCTAGCCAGGTGAGGATGCGAGTGCAAAAGCTTTCTGCCAGTAAGTTTTATTTAAAGTGAAGTTGCATTATTACTTAAATGATCCATGTTGTAAATAAGGTGACATGTATACCTTTGTATTACTTAGTGTGCGTTTTTACATTATGTGGATTAACTCTGTGGTATTTGATCACTCCTGATCCCAAAGGTGCTGGTTAATAAAAAGTTTGCTGTCGTTCAGGGGTGACATTGACAGACTCTTAGTCGTATGGATCATTGGGGTGGTCAGGAGGGTGGGGGAGAGGGGTGCGGGGGCAGACAGGAAAGTGGAGTTGAGATCACAATCAGCTCGTTGATATGGTGGACTCTGCGCTGCAGATGTAACGGAGGTCCAGTGAAGAGACAGCTCTCCCCATCCACCCTTGAGAAAGTCAAAGGTGAGAGAAGATCCTTTGGCCCAACTGAGCCTGATGTCACTTGCTCAAACTCTGCGTTCAGTTCTACCCTGGAAACAGAAGTTCATCATCTAAAGCAACGTTCCATTGCAGCACAGAGGGAGCACAGTGCCAACTTTTAGATAAGACCTTAAATCAAATAATGTTATCTCAGTTGGACGTGAAAGTTCTTGTGATTTTGTTTCTGAAGAAAAATAGGCAGGTTCTCCTCGTGCTACCGATTAATATTTATCCCTCAATCAACATCCCCGCTAAAACAGACTTTCTGGTCATTATGATGAAGCTTTTTGTGGGAACCTGTTGTGTGCATATTGTCTGCTTTGTTTCCTACATTACAACAATGACAATATCATTGGTGATATCAAGTATTCTTTTAACACATTCCCAATCCACTATCCCATTCATTTCAAAACACTTGTGTTCTATTTTCATTTGGGGCCCTAAATTCTCCTTAAGAATTTAGTAACAAGGCTTGTATTTACCCAGGCCGAATTTAACGTGAAATTCAGGCTTTAATTTATTTAAAGCCATTGGTCATAATACTTCCTTTTGTTTTTGCACAGTCAATTCTGGTTATTGTTCAAATTTTAAAAACTTACAGAGACACATGTAGAGAAAGGCAGACACATGGATGGACACACAGAGACAGACACCTGGACAGACAGATGGACACATAGACAGACAGACACATGGAAGATAGACACATGGAGAGAAAGACAGACACATGGACAGATAGTCAGACACACGGTTATATGGACAGAGAGACACATGACACAGAGACAGACACATGGACAGACAGGCACATTGGTAGACATTTGGACACATAGACTGACGGACACATGGACAGAGAGACACATGAACAGACAGACAGAGAGCATAAACAGATAGGCATACAGGCACACAGACAGACAGACACACTGACAGGCATACACATGGACAGATAGGCAGGTGTTGAGGCAGACGAGAACGTGAGGAGACAGACCCAGTAGGGGACAGTTACAGATTCTGGAATGGTGGGGCTGAAAGCTAATCTCCCCCACTAACTGAAGCTAACGAGACAGAGAGATGGTCATCACCAGGGCTGGAAACCATGGTAACGTGAGAGTCGAGCTTGCAGTTGCTAAAGCTGCTTAAAGAAGCTTCCAGTTGATTCACATTTCTGTTTGTTGTGAAACCCAGAGCGATATCTTTGAGAGAGAGAGAGCGAGAGAGACCATATCCTTATGTGGGGGTCTGTTCAGAATGTCTGGAGAACATGAACCTCAAAATCAGAGCTCACCTCCATGTCAGGATGATGTCAGGAAATACTTCTTCACGCAAAGGTTGGGGAATTCTAGAAATGTATTTCTCAAAACCTAATAAAGTGGTGGCCAATTGAAGTCTTCTTAACTGAGATTGATAGGCTTGCGTTTAGGTGAAGGTATTAAGGGATATATGTACAAAGATTAGATTTAGGAACAGAAATAGGCCCCTTGAGCTTGCCCTGGTATTCCATAAACCCGTGGCTGATCTGATTATTCCTTATTCCCTCCTCCTCCTTCTCCAATAACCTTTCACCACTTGCTTATCGGGAATCTATCTTCCTCTGCTTTTAAAAAATTATTCAAAAATTCTGCTTCCACCTCCTTTTGAGGGAAGGGAGTTCTAGAAATTCACAACCCACTGAGAGAATAATTTGTTTCCTCATCTCTTTCTGAAATGGGCATTTTAAAACAGTGACTCCTAATTCTAGGTTCTTTAATGAGAAGATGCGCTCTCCCACATCCACACTGTCAGGATTACTCAGGGTCATGTATGTGTCAATCAAGTTGCCTCTTCCTCTTCTAAACAAGCCCAGTCTGTCCAACCTGCCCAGTCCAGGAACTAGTCCAGTAAACCTTCTCTGAACTGCTTCTAATGCGTTTACACCTTCCTTAAAGGAGACCAATAAGGACTGAATATCAGCAACAATCTGTCCTGGTCCATCCACGTTGACACTACAGTAAAGAAAGCACATCAATGCCTCTACCTCCTCAGAAGGCTAAGGAAATTCGGCATATCCACAATGGCTCTTATCAATTTTTATAGATGTACTATTGAAAGCATCCTATCCGGATGCATCACAGCTTGGAATGGCAACTGCTCTGCCCAAGACCACAAGAAATTACAGAGAGCTGTGGACACAGCCCAGTCCATCACGAAAACCAGCCTTCCTTCCATTGCCTCCATCTACACTTACTGCTGTCTCAGGAAAGCAGCCAACATAATCAAAGACCCCTCCCACCCCAGTTATACTCTCTTCCATCGGGCAGAAGATACAGAAGTTCAAAAATACACACCAACGGATTTAAGAACAGCTTCTTCCCCGCTGTTATCAGACCTGTGAATGGACTTCTCATATATTAGAGTTGATCTCTCTCTGCACCTTCTCTGTAGCTGTAACACCATATCTGCATTCTGTTCTAATACCCTGATGTATTTATGTGAGGTATTTGTCTGGTCGGCATGCAATACAATACTTTTCACTGTAGCAATAATAAATCAAATCAAATTAATGCTGTACACAGTACTCCAGAAGCAGTCTCACTAGTGCTCTCTATTACAATAGAGTAATGTCCCTACATTTAGACTTTTGTATTAAAGGATATAGATCACTGGTGGGTAAGACAGAGTTAAGCTACAGATCAGTCTTGGTCAAGTTGACTTGCAAAGCAGGTTCTCATCGTTGCATTGCTTGCTTCTCACCTCTGTTCCAACGTTACTATATCTTTCTCCCACACTTAGCTGAAATCAATGCATCTGGAGATATTGAGGAGTTCCTGCGAGAGGCAGCCTGCATGAAGGAATTCAACCACCCCAATGTCATTAAGGTGATTGGTGAGTGTTGCAGGGACTGGTTTATAGACGGAGGAGACTGGCGGGGAGGGTGGAGGGTGAGGATGTGACACGCGTCTGACTCCACACCAGAAGTTCAAATCAGCAGCTCAGGTTCCTGGAGGTTTCAGTTTGGTCTTTTGTGGCGTAGTGGTAGCATCCTTACCTCTGAGCCAGGAGGTAAGCCCGGTTCAAATCCTGCCTGTTCCAGAGGTGTGTACAGCAATACATATCTGAGCAGGTTGATTAGGAATTATCTACGGGGGACGATGGGCTGGAAGACCCATTGGAGAATAGCACCACCTGGTGTTCAATTACTGTACCCGTGACTTTCAGCCCATCGAGTAGAACGATCCCAGAAGGTTTCGTCACATGACTTTGTGCCACTAACCGGCCGGTCCTCCTCCCAATCCCATCCTGGGTGCCTGGAGATGTCCGATCTGAGAGCGTGGGTTACCTCCCACAACTGGTTAGAAAGCAAACTGGTTTGGTATTACCCAACTGGACAATTCAGTCAAACCACCAATGTCGAAGCTCTCAAAGGGAAATGGAAATAACTGGTTTCTTCCTGGCCGCTGCTCACTGCAGACTGGAGAGCCCAGGTCAACTCTGGAGGTGTTCGATACATTCTCCCAATGTGCTGAAGCACCTGTATCCATTTCATAGGGAAGTGAGACTCATGACCCACAGAAAGAGTACATCTCTCCTCATCTCTATCTTAAATTAATGACCTTTTCCATACGTTATGCCATCACTGATAATGCAGTCCAGCATCTGAACATAACGCTTACCAACCCTTATACCCCCACCCCGAAGTCTTTCACTGTATCTCTCAACTGAATATTAGCATCCAGCATCCTTTCAAACTGTCCATTCCAGATCAATGCGACTCACTGACTGAAGGAATTGGTGTCTCATCTCCCCTCTGGTTGTGTTCAGTCTGTGTCCTCTGTCACTGACCCCTCTGCAACTGCAACAGTTTCTCCTTATTTCATCCCTCTTATTCCTGAAAGAGAACAACCCCAGCTTTCCTAGTCTCTCCATGGAGCTGAATTCTGTCATTCCCTGCTGTAGTGCAGTGGAGTTCGAAAGACAGTGTGAGAAACGCCTCCCAATGTGAAGACGTGAGAGATCATTTTTGAGAGACCATGGCTTCCATAAGGGTTAGTCATATTTTTTGTAAAGATCTATGTAGTTCCTGAGTGTGAAATACACCAGTAACACCTACCGAAGACTCAGTAACCTCTTCTAGTTAGACTAACCAAACATGCAACACTTGACTCTCCAAGGTCTGAAGAGTGGTTGGCCTGCGGAATTCTCTGCCACAAAAAGTGGTCAAAATATTTGAGTGTTTTCAAGAAGGACTTAGATCTAGTTCTTAGGGATTAATTTATTTCTTCAGTTCATTCATGCGGCTGGGCCAGTATTTATTGCCCATTCCTTATTGGCCTGGAGTGCAGTTAAGAGTTACCACGTTGCTGTGGGTCTAGAGTCATATGTAGGTAACGATAGCAGTTTCCTGCTCTAAAGGATGTTAGTGAACCAGATGGGTTCCAATAATCAACAATGGATTCACGGTTAGATACTTAATTCCAGATTTTGTTTTATGGGAGAAGGCAGGAGAGGGGAACTAGCTGAGCTGCATGATCAGCCATGATCATATTTGAAGAGAGGAGCAGGCTCAAAGGGCTGAATGGCCTGCCTTCTGCTCTTACTTCCCATTAACTTCTGTGTGAGGTGCACGGAAGTGAGCACAGTAGTCCAGCCGAGGCTTATTCGTTGATTTATAATGTCTCGGCATAATATCTTTGCTTATTGTAATACGGATGGATGAATAAATACATTAACAGCTTTCTTACTGGTGTTGGCGTACAAGTGTGGTGTAACACGGCGTCCTCACTGAAGTGTAACCAACCTCTCCAGGTTTCTTTTCTCTTTCCCAGGGGTGAGCCTCCAGAGTCGAGCCCATCGCCGGCTTCCAGTCCCCATGGTTTTGCTGCCCTTCATGAAACATGGAGACCTTCGTACCTATCTGGTACTGTCCCGGCTTGGAGACCAGCCAGTGGTAAGTCATTGACTCGCTTCAGAAGCTCCTCAGCGGCCATCTCTGTTACTGATTTGCTCACGGGCTGGTGGCGAAACCAGAGAAGGGCTAGAGCGCTCAGCGAGGGGCCTGAGCTTGATGTGACTGTGGGCCATACACTCTGCTGGGCATTCACGCCTGTACCCAGTCAGCTGACCCCCAACCCGTGGCATCAGTAGGTACCCCTATGCTAAAGAGAGGCGCTGCCTGGTGACCCCATGTCTGTGGGGAAGTATGGGGAGGAAGTCCTCAGTGTGGTGCCTCCCACAGTGGAATAGTTAGCTGATACACCGCACGCGTGCAGAATGGCTAACATTGAGTTGGAGCAGAGGACCAGCAAAGCTGACAGAGCCTTGCCTTAGTGAGTGCTGGCTGGATAACAATATTTGTCCCGAATCTCCAATTAGTAGCAACTTATAGGAGATTCTCCTCGTTTAAAGGAAATTCATTCCAATAATGTCCCTCTGTAACTGAACATTACAAGTGCCAGGCTATGGGTGAACCCTCTCAACGGAGTGGGATTCCTCACACCATCAAAAAAAAAGCCTACTGCTTGTCTTTTGGAATAGTATCCTGGATTCTGACACCACTGAGAGATATCAGACCGGGATTGCTTAAAGGGACACCTTCCTCAAGTTAAAGCAATCAGAAACATCCCTTGTCTTTCTACAAGCATCATGATGCTGCAACATGACATTAGTAAGACATGCCTTGGGCGTGTTGTCATGGAGACAATCATGGCATTAAGCTCATCTCCATTCTTGAAACATTATAAAGCCCAAACCTTGACTTTTTTTTTGTATTGATGTTTTGTTCAAGTTTTGAAGCTGGGTTCAAGGGATAACAGTGAATCGATGTTGGAGGGAATCGGGTAAAACAAGTCGACTGTGGGCCCATCTTGTGCTAATGGTGAAGACAGTTTGCCCCCATTCAATTGTAAGCATTATCCCTTTTTTAAGGAACTTTTTAAAGTCTATGTTGGACATAGACGTCTGCTTTCGTTTGAGCTGTTACAGTGAATTCACATTGTTGCTGTTGTGAATCTCACGTGGCTGGCTTCTTCCTGTGATTCTGGTCATCAGTTCACTTGGGAATATGTATTAATCTATTAGTGAGACACTTACCTGTGCCCCACTTTGTGACACTGTTTGCTGCCCTAGCTATCTCCTCCTTGTAGAGACTTTTGTTTTTCTTTTTCTGTCCCACTCACCCTATCTTCATTGCTAATCTCACTTTCTATTTTGTGTCCTACTTGGCGATTCCACTCTCTCTGACTTTTTTTAACGATAAAAATTGATCATGCCTGCACGTCTGTCTGTCTTTCTGTATCTTAGTTGGAATTGTCTCTATTTCTTCCCAATTGTGCCTGGCTGCTGATGTATCTGTCTCTCTCTATGGGCCAGTTCATCATATATGTCCACATTTTTCTCTCTCTCTTGCTCTTTCAAACTTCAAAATAGTGAGTCGATGGCCTTTTGCCTTGATACCTCTGCAGCTGTTGAACTGCTCAACCATCCCTTCACCGTAGCCCTCCCTCCCCTCCATCTTTGTCAGCCATCTTTGCTCCTTCCAGTCCGTGGAGCACAGCCCTGAGTATTATCTGGTCCACAACTGTTTTCTCTTTCCACCTCCTGACCTGACCAAATTCGATCCAGATCCCCTGGGCTTTGATGCCCTCTGTCAAACGCAGATTGGCACAACGGGTGATAATTCGTTGGAGGTGACAGGCATCTTGCCTGGACAGCCCCATCTTCCCACAGGTCCCTGTTGGTGACCCTTTGCCCGGGTGACGAAATCCCACTGCCCTGCCCCCATCAGGAACTGCAGGTCATTGCGGGAAAACCCAGCGACTGCTACCAGTCTTGCACCGCACGGAGACCAAGGATTGTCAAGGAACCCGGGCCTCGGACGAGTGAGGGTGGGACAGTGGTTACGGGAGGTGGGATGGGGGTCAGTGGCCAGGGCAGGAGCATGGCTGCCCCATTTCCCTGAGGCTCGCTCCCTGGTTGCTTTTTGATCTCCCCTCATTGCAATGTCCCTGCTATCGCTGGTTGAGTATTAGGCAGTGGGGCAAGCAGGCTGACCATGACCCTTTAACCAGTTAGAGGCAGGCTCTCTCACCGAAGTAAAGTAATGCCCCTTCCACCTTCAAGGCAGGGTAATAAATTCTACCAGTTAACCCTCAGAGGTTACTGTTTTCTTTTCTTCATCATGGTTTGCATAGACCTGTCTGCCCTGCTCCATTGTGGCGGGAAGTGTAAGGGGTTTCCCTGTTATTGAATCATAGATCATCCATTCCACTGTTTTCCCTCTTCCTCTTCCTCCCCAAGTCAAGCATCTGCCCTATGCCTCAGTCCGGATCCTGCACCATCACTTTGCCTCCTTCTCACCGTAACAATTCTATATCTTGGGCCAAGTCCACCCCAGCCTTTATATGCTGGTCCAGGGTTCTGTTGACCTCTGACCTCCCAATGTTTTCCAGAGCAGCCAGGCCTATCCCACCCGACATCAACTTCAGCCAATCTGAAACTCTGCTGCCTGTCTACCACCCCTGTCCCACCAACCATCACCCCTATTCTCTCAAGACTGGGGACAATTCTCCGCCTTTCATTTCTATCCCTTCTTGTTGGTTTTCCCTCTTCCTCTCTGTCTACACCCTCCTTTCAATCCTTGTTCTCAATCTCACTAAGGTTTCTTGACCCCTGTCCTTCACTCATGTCCTTTAGGGAAGGAAGTGGCCATCCTTACCTGGTCTGGCCTACATGTGACTCCAGACCCACGGCAATGTGGTTGGCTCCTAACTGACCTCTGGGCAATCAGGGATGGGCAATAAATGCTGGCTCATATCCCATGAATGAAGAAAGGAAAACTACCTGCCAAAAAAATTACTGGACTGGTGTCAAACTGCTTTAAGACATCCTGTGGTCACAGAAAACACTACATAAATGCAACTGTTTCATTTTGTTCAATTATCCGTCTCTGAACCCCCTCAGGATGTCCAATCTTATTTGCTCCCTTGTGCCCAGGGAGGTTTGGGTTGTGTTTCCATCTCCCCAGTTGATTATCATCTTGCTGTCTCTTTAGGACATTTCAACACCAACTCTCCTGAACTTTATGATTGACATTGTGAAAGGGATGGAGTACCTCAGCAGCAAGAACTTTGTCCACAGGGATCTGGCTACACGCAACTGCATGTAAGTGAGCACATGGTGGGCATTTCCTTAATCCTTCATGGGATGTGAACATTTATTGTCCATCTCTCTCTACTGTGCATGAGAAAATGGTGGTGAGCTTGAGTCTGAGTTTGATTTATTGCTGTCACGTGTACAGAGAAACAGTGAAAAGTGTTGTTTTGCGTGCTCTACAGGCAGACCATGCCACACAAAGTGCGTCAGGGTAGCAGAACAGAGTGCAGAACACAGTGTCGCAGCTGCAGAGAAGGTGCAGAGACAGAGAGAAATCAGAATTAACATTTGAGAGATCCGTTCAAACATCTGAGGGAAGAAGCTGTTCTTGAATGTTTTGGTGCGAGCTTTCATGTCTTTTGCCCGACGAAAGAGGCTGGAAGAGAGTATAACCAGGGTGAGAAGGGTCTCAGATTTATGTTGGTTGCTTTCCTGAGGCAGCGGGAAGTATAGATGGAGTCACTGGATGGAAAGCTGGTTTGCGTGATAAACTGGGCTGTGTTCACAACTCTCTGCAGTTTCTTGTGGTCTTGGGAAGAACAGTTACTGTGATCCATCCAGATAGGAAGCTTTCTATGGTGCATCTATAAGAATTGGCAAGAGTCATTGTGGCCAAATTTCTGTGGTCTCCTGATGAAATAGAGACATTATTGCTCTTTCTTGACCATAGTGGGTGAACCAGGACAGATTGTTGGTGATCATCGCTCTCAGGAACCTGACGCTCTCGATCTTAGCACCACTGATGTAGACAGGGGTGTGCCCTCCACTCTGCTTCCGAAACGTCAATGACCAGCTCTTTCATTTTGTTGACATTGATGTCAACATTTGTTGACATTTACACCATGCTGTTAAACACTCAATCTCTTTCCTGTATTCTGTCTCATTGTTGTCTTGAGATCTGATATACAACAGCGGTGTCATCAGCAAACCTGTAAATGGAGTTGGGGCAGAATTTGGCCATACAGTTGAGAGTGTATAAGGGGTATCGTAGGGTGTTGAGTGCACAGCTTTGTGGGGCATTGGTGTTGAGGATCATGGTGGAGGAGGTTTTGTCACCTATTCTTACTGATTGTGGTCTGTGGGTCAGGAAGTCGAGGATCCAGTTACAGAGGGGGGAGCTGAGACCTAGGCCTTGGAGTTTGTTTGGAAGATGGGCTCATTTGGAATTAAGGCGTTGAAGGCAGAGCTAGTCAATAAGTAGGAGCCTGATGTAGGTATCCAGATGTTCCAGGGATGGGTATAGGGCCAGGGAGATGGCATTTGCCATGGATCTGTGTGCCAGTAGGTGAATTGCAAAGGATCAAGGCAGTTGGGAGGCTGGAGGTGACGTGAGTCACGACTAACCTCTTGAAGCACTTCATAATTACAGAGGTCAGTGCCACCGGGAGGTAGTCATTGAGCCACGCTGAAGGATTTTCCTTTGGCATCAGGATGACTGTGGTCTTCTTGAAGCAGGTGGGAACCTCAGATCAGAGTAAGGAGAGATTAAATATATCTGTGAATACTCTTGCCAGCTGGTCCACACAGGATCTGAGCACGTGGCCGGGGACTCCCTCTGGGCCAGTCGCTTCCAATGGGTTCACTCTCAAGATGGCCAACTTGCAGCGGTGACTGTGGGTACAGGCACATCTGAGGCTTTTTGGACATGTGATCACACATGCATGGTTCGATCTGATCCCTGTTTTGGCTGAACTAGATTTGGGGCTTACCTCCTTGCAGTAAAGATCACGTCATTTTGCGATGGACCTGTTGGTAATCACCAAGATCTGCCTTTGGGCAGAGAACTCAAGTGGAAATAATCCTGTTTGGTTGGCACCTTAGTCTTAGATATGCCTGGTACCAGTCCTGGCAGCACTCTCCACTGAACCCGGGTTGATCCCCTGGCTTGATGGTAATGGTTGAGTGGGGGTTATGCCGGGCCATGATTGTGCTGGAGTACAATTCTGCTGCTGTTGATGGCCTGCAGCGCCCGGTCTTGAGTTGCTAGATCTGTTTCGAATCTATCCCTCTTAGTAAGATAATTCTCCCACGTCACACGATGGAGAGTGTCCTCATGTGAAGCTGGAACTTTACTTCACAAATACAGTGCAGTGGTCACTCCTACCAATACTATCCTGGGTAGATACATCTGTGGCAGGTAGATTGGTGAGGGTGGGATCCAGAAGGTTTTCTTTTCCCCTCTTGTTGGTTCCCTCAGCCTGGTGGATGGATCCTTCAGGAATCATCCCATAGCTGTGATATGAAGCCACTCTTGGTGATGGACCTTGAAGACCTCCATTCAGAGTAGACTATCCATCCACACTACTTCTTCAATAATGGAAGGGGTGGGGAGATCACTGAAGGAGGCCGATAGTCGGTGATCAGCAGGACGTTTCCTTGTGGCATGAGACTTAGGGTCAATGTTGAGGGCTCCCAGAAGAATGAACAGTTTGACCAGTCTGAGGGACAGGACTTTTAACTTTGACCCAAAGTTTCATGAGGAGGATTTTGCGGGGGCAACCAGACAGGGCGTGCTTTTGCTGTGCCCAGGAGGTCTGTCTGATTTTATAACTTATTCACATTTTCTGCTTTGTACAACAGAGGGTTTGCTAGACCTTCTTAGAGGGCAGTTTCACTGGAAAACACATTACTTGGGTCTAGAGTCACATGTGGACCAGGCAGGTAGGGATGATAGATTTCCTCCCATTATGGACACTAATGAACCAAATGGGCTTTTTACAATAATTGGCTTTATGGTCATCATTACTAGACTAGAGGTCAGATTATTGTAATGTTAGGAAGAGTTTTAAAAGTGGTGAATGAGACCAGGAGGTGAAAGTCGTGCTTACATTTTCAACAGATCCAAGTTTTGCTAGCAGGGAAAGGAGGGTGCAGGCATGTCACCTGAACTAAATAGTACCATTTGAACTTAGTGCTGAATTCAAACAGACCCCATTTTGCCTCAAACTGCAGTGAAAGAGTCACAAATTTAAGAAATAGATGCAAGGACTCTTGAAGGGTAGAGAAAGTGTGTTTGAGTGTCATTATCTGAAGTTATCTAAAGCCTTTGCTGTTCAAACATGGAAGTTAAAAAACATCTTAAGCTGACAATGAGAGTTATAACAAACCGTCTTTGATTGACAGGCCACCTGGTTTAGGGTTACTGTACGTGAAGCAATTTCAATAGAGTTCCTTGTTCACAGTTCACCGATTTTACTTTTAGAAGGAAAGAAAGTTTAAAGGAGAAAATGACAGCGAAGAGAGAACTATGAACAATATCAGCCCGTGATGGATCCCAGACGGGAAATTGATTGGTTAGTAGTATCGTGGGAGTAGAATCAAGGAATCAGCATGTGAATCTTTCAAAGATGAGCTCAGGTAGGAGAGAAAATAGAGAAATTGGGGGTTTATGGCTAGGCTTTTATCGCTCATCCCTAATTACCCGGGGGGAATTAGGAATTAACCACTTTGCTGTTGGTCTGGAGTCACATATAGATCTACCTGGTAAGGCCAGCAGATTTCCCTCCCTATAGGACTTTAACGAATCAGATGCATTTTTCCAAAAATTTACAGACATGGTTGCCATTCGACCAGCTTTCTTCTGTTTTCCGATTTCTATTCAAATTCCACTACCTGCCATGGTGGGATTTGGACCTATGACCCTGGAATCTTAGCCTGGTGTTCTGGATTACTAGTCTAGTGACATTACTGCTAACATCTCTCCGCTACACAGCCAATATTTATGTCTGAGCCAATGTTTATAACAAATTCTCTGGTCATTATCTTATTGGCTGCTTATGGGAGTATGCTGAGTACACATTAGCTGCTCACATTATGACAGCAGCCAAAAGTATTTCATTGGCTGTAAAGTGAATTAATATTTTTTGATTTTATTTGTTATTGTCACATGTACTTAGGTAAGGTGAAAAGTCTTGTTTTGCGAGCAGTACAGTTAGACCATACCATACAAAGTGCATTAGGGTAATAGAGCAGAGTGAGGAATACAATGTTACTGCTGCAGACAAGGTGCACACAGAGTGAGATCAACATTAAATTTAAAATTAGAAAGGTCCATCCAGAAGTCTCATAACAGTGTGCAAGAAGCTGTTCTTGAATCTGTAGGTGCGTGTGTTTAAAGTCTTTGACCTTCTGCCTGATGGTAGAGGTTGGAAGAAATTATAACTGAGATGGGGGGGTCTTTGATTATGTTGACTGTCTCCCTGAGGCAGCGAGAAGTTTAGATGGAGTCAGTGGATGGAAGATTGGCCTGTGTGATGGTCTGGGCCGTGTTCATAGCCTTCTGTAGTTTCTTAACGGTCCTGGGCAGAGCAGTCGCCATACCAATGTGTGATGCATCCAGATAGAATACTTTCTGTGGTGCATCTATAAAAATTGGTCAGAATCTTTCCGGACATGCTGAATTTCCTTAGCCTCCTGAGGAAGTAGAGGCGTTGTTGTGCTTTCTGCACTGTCACATCAACATATGTGGGGTGGTGGTCTTTATCCAAAGAGGACTGAAGTAGAGAGGGTTGGTAGTTAATGCTGTAGTTGTATTGCGGACACATGGGGCATGGCAGGGGGCGTTGAGTTTGAGGTGGGGGCCATACGATACAACATGGCTTGAATGAGGCAGAACGGCCTCCTGCTGCTCTTATGTGTGTTTGTGAAAACCAACCCGATTGTCATTCTAATTCTAAATTCTGAAGCCAACCCGTTTGACATCATGAATTTATTAACGTCCCTTCATATCTTCTTGTTTCCCCCAGGCTGGACCAAGACATGCGCGTGTGTGTGGCAGACTTTGGCTTATCCCGCAAGCTGTATAGTGGTGATTACTATAGGCAAGGCAGCGCCAGCAAGCTACCCGTTAAATGGATCGCACTGGAGAGTTTGGCAGACAACGTGTACACGGTTCACAGCGATGTGGTACGTACAAAGTCCGCGCCTGGGCGACGGGTCTTCCCAAAGTGGAAGTCGCGAGCTGAAATTCTGGGATTTGTGAGTTCCAAGACAGAAACGGCTCCACAGACCTCTGTCCCCTCTCATTTCCACAACACGCTCCCATCCCACAGTTGTCATTGGCCGGGGGGGGAGGGGGCGGCGGCAGTGGTGGCAGTGCTGGGGGCCTCAGCAGTTTTTGAATTGGCCTTGAAATGGGGTCACGGTGTGAAGAGCTTAGAAATCACATGAGATTTATCTAGTCATCCCCTATTCCGTTGTTCATCTATAGTCTGTGGTCTGAATCATGGCTGTGACGTTTAGTTGACCTTTTTAAGGCCATTTCTTATGGGAATGGCCTCCGTAGTGATGTAGGGATGTCAATAAGGGGATAATTTTTGTCAGTGATGGCAGCTTGTTTATATAGGGGATTGGACGGCCTAGTGGTATTATCGCTGGACTGTTAACCCAGAGACAGGTTCTGGGGACCCGGGTTCAAATCCCGTCATGGCAGATGGTGAAGCTTGAATTCAACACAAATCTGGAACTAAGAGTCTAACGATGATCGCGAAATCGTTACTGATTCTTGTAAAAACCCATCTGGTTCACCACTACCCTTTCTGGAAGGAAACTGCTATCCTTAACTACATGTGACTCCAGACCCACAGCAGTGAGTCGTAACTGCCCACTGGGGTGGGCAATAAATTCTGGCCTAGTTGGCGATGCCGTTATCCTGCTACATTTGCCGAGGTCCATTCAAGGCCGTCAATCTGGCTAGCTCTTAGGTCAGCCTTATACAATAGGCCCGGTCATGAATACTGAAGGGATCTCCACAGCCCCTAATCTCGTTGGGTGTTGTATTCATGCCCCAGCAGCCTCCTACTATTCCTCCTCCTCGGGTCCCCATCGACGTTCGAGTCGATCAGCAAAAGGTGCTGTAAGAAGGGAATCACGTGAGCACGAAGGGCGATGCTAGAGTGGAGCAGGGTAGGAACTTCCGATTAACTTGGAGCCATCGCTGGACTCTAGAAGTGCAAGGGGTGGATTTGAGGAGCCTGTGCGTCTGATGTACATGATTTCCGTTTGTAACACTGTCGTTCGCACTCTGATTCCAGTGGTCATTTGGAGTCACCATGTGGGAGATTGCAGCAAGAGGTCAGACCCCATACCCAGGGGTTGAGAATGCAGAGATTTACGAGTACCTCATCCGAGGGCACAGGCTGAAGCAGCCCCCAGATTGCACTGACGAACTGTAAGTAACAATCCTGACGACGGGGGTGGAAGTAGAGGAACGGATTTTTGGAATAAAATACTTCTGATTCCCTAATTACACCAGGTCCCATTCGCCTATCAAACCTGTGTTTGCTAATCTGCATTGGCTTCCCAGTTATTTCACAAGGGGAAATGGAGGGGGTGGGGGGGGGTGTGTGTGGGGGGGGTGGTGGGGTGGTGGTGTGGGGGGAGATCTTTCAGGATTGAGGGAAGCAAACACTGAATTTTACTTGACAAACACAACACGCTGCAGAGTCTCAGCAGTCTGGCACTATCTGTGGAGAGAAAAACGTTGCGAGTCCGGATCTGTGTTTTGAAATTCCAGCTCCCACAGTATTTTGCTTTAACTTAATTAACTTAGCGGCCCCCTGAAATGGGACCACTATTTCTGTCGGTAAGGGAGACTCCAGTAGATGGATTTGCAGCCATGGGGGTCTTGGAAAAACTTCACGCGTGAGGATCGGGTTTCTTACAAAAGCAGCTGCAGGGTCGTGTAAATATTGTGTCACCTTCTGAGTCCATGACACTACCATCAAGAAGGGCAAGGGCAGCACCATCAAGTCCCAAATGGGCACAGCAATCCTGATTTGGAACAATATCACCGTTCCTTCACTGTGGCTGGGTCAAAATCCTAGAACTTCCTTCCTGTGGTTCAGGACGGCAGCTCCCCCATGTCTTCTCAACGGCACTGAGGGATGGGGAATAAATGCTGGCCTAGCTAGCGATACTCACATCCTATGAATGAATAAATATGGAACAATTTCCATTGGTTGCACTATCACCCTGCCTAACCTGGAGGGGCTGAATGGCCTCCACTTGTTCCTAAGCCTCTTCCCTCGTAACTTGCTAAAGATGTTGCGTAATAGGACCGTCTTCCTAAACTGAGTGACTTTGTTGTTAAGAACTTTTTCAATGTTTTTTGTGTTGTGGCAGGTACAAGCTCATGCACAAGTGTTGGCACACCGACCCCAAGCTCAGGCCCTCCTTTGAATCTTTGAGGACGTCGCTGGAAGGCCTCTTACAGGGCCTTTCTACCGCCACAGAGACAGAGCAGCATCTCTACATGAACTTACAGGAAGGGGCAGGGGCTACTGCCTCGAATCAAGGCCACAGCATGGCCTGCTGGGAAATGGATGGTCAAGGTGCGGACAATATGGAGGTCTTGGCTATTTCAGACACTGCTGACTATCGCTATGTGACTGCTCCTCTGGGTTTTATGGAAGACGGAACAGAGGAGACCTCGGCAAATGAATCGGAGGATCCGGTACAGGACGGACAACTGGAAGATGAAGTCACGATAAATCTTTAGCAACGGGAAATTTAAATACTGAGCAGTGCAATAATGAAACTGAGGGGGATCCTCTCAGCTGTGCCTTGGTACCACACACGGGTCGAACACTTGTTGGTTACCACTCTCGCTGGGATCCAGATCCAAAAAAGACCTTTGAGATTTCAACAAGAACTGAAGCAAACAGTTTATTTATATCTCTTTGAAGATCAAATGTCACTTACTGGACAGATTTCCATGCATTTTTGTTTGATCTGAATTGAAACTAGAAGTTTCTTTTTTTCAAATTGTTCTCATTGGGCAGGCCGACTTGATTAAAGGTGCAATGATTTTAGATGTTGGCTCGATTGACGAGTCAGACTGTAGAAAAGAGCGATTGTTAAGCAAAACCAAAAGAGATTTGCATTTATGTCGCACTTTTCTCAACCATTGGGTGTCTCAAAGTGCTTCGCAAGTGTGAAGCACTTTTGAACTGTTGTAATGTAGGGTATGTGATGGCACAGTAAGCTCCCACAAGCAGCAATAATCGTTTTTTTTGTGAGTTTGAGGGAATAATATTGGCCAGGATCCCAGGTTTGGAATCATTTACATCCACCCAAGCGGGCAGCTGGGATCTTGGTTTCATGTCTCATCCGAAAAGCTCCGACTGTGCAGCACTCCCTTGGTACTATGCTGGAGTGTCACCCTGGATTCTTGCATTCAGCACTGGCGTTGAAACTTGAACCTGTGATCTCGTGATTCAAAGGCAGGAGTACGACCAACTGAGACACTAACAGCTGACGCTAGGGAAAGACTGACTTCAATTTTGAACCTCACAGCCACTGAGTACTGTGGCGCAGAGCAAGGTGCCACAAAAGGCAGTGCAACCATATCTAGATTATTTGTCCTCTTCATTTAGAGATTTATGTCAGCCAGAGTTTTTTTGAATAATGCCATGAGGTCCTTTGTGTTCGCTTGAAACGGGGCCTCGTACTAACATCTTGTTCAAAAGATAGTACCCCTGACAATGCAGCACTCGCTGAAGTATCAGCCTAGACTTTGTGTTTTGAACCACATCTGTCTTTCCAACTCAGCTGTCCTCTGAGCGTCAAATGACATCATTGCGTTAATATGCACTCCCTTGTACCTTCGTGCAGCTGTGTTAAACTGTGTTGTTTCAACCCATAGATGATACATGTGAATCTGTCTGTGCGGAGTTTGCAATTTCTACCCGTGTCTACATGTGGGTTTGCTGTGGGTGCTCTGGTTTCCTCCTAATGTTCAAAGATGTGCAGGTTAGGTGGATTGGTCATGCTAAGTTGCTCTGAAGTTTCCAGGGATGGGCAGGCTAGATGGATTAGCCATGGTAACTGTGGGGTTAAAGGGATAGGGTTGGGGGCTAGGTCTGGATGCTCGGTGCTGACTTGACGGGCCAATTGGGCTCTTACTGCACTGTAGGGATCCTATGATGACTACCGCAGCAGAAATCAAGGGAGACACGTCACGCCCTTAATTCGTCACCTTTCCAGCTTTTAATAACAAGAGTTATAATCAAAGAAATTAAAAATTCAAAGATTCCAGTAAAACGAACACTATAACCTAAACTAAGAGAGCTCATGGTGTTCTTCAGCAATACCTCCCAAACATATTACTTACCCTGAAGGACAATGGTAGCATGTTTTACAGGAGCTTCCAAAGTTGCCCTTGAAATTCACACATAATGCTGATTTGGGAAGACTCTGCCATTTGCCTTCACTGCTACTGGATCGAAGTTATAGGAACTTACTAGTAAAGTGTGCGGGTGTGTGGTTCATTTGCACAGGACATTGGTGAGGCCTTTTCTGGAAAACTGTGTCCAATTCTGGTCGCTCAGTTGTAGGAAGGATGTTAGCTGGAGAGGATTCAGAAGAGATTTACCAGGATGTTGCTAGGTATGGAGGGTTTGACTTATGGAGAAAGGCTGGATTGGCAGGGAATTTTTTTTCACTGGAGTGTAGGAGGTTGAGAGGTGACCCAATAAAAGCTTATAAAATAGTGAGAGGTACAGGTAGAGTTAATGGTAGTTGTCTTTTCCCTAGGATGGGGGATTTCAAAGCTAGGGTCCATATTTTTAATATGAAAGGAGAAAGATTTAAAAAGGACGTGAGGGGCAACATTTTTACACAGAGTGGTTCGTGTGAGGAAGTGATGGATGCAGGTACAGTTACAACATTTAGAAGACATTTCAATAAGTACACGAATAAGAAATGTCTGGGGGCATATGGGCTAAAGTGCATGCGGGTGGGACTAACTTAGTTTGGGATTATGGTTGGCATGGACTGGTTAGACCAAAAAGGTCTGTTTCTGTGCTGTACAATGTCAGGATGGACAACAGATACCGGTCTTGTCACTGCAAACAAGGAAAAAGATTAACTGAACAGTTTTCTCTGCTTTTGAGGGTGAGCTTGTCACATGCTGTTATTGCTTTTAGCTCTCCACCCACCCTAGATCCTGTAGACTCCCTCAATCACTTGATTCTGAGAGGTGTAACCTTGTACACAGAGTGGTCATGAATCTGAGTGAAGAGTTCAGGTGATCACTTCCACAGTTCTGCATTTTCCAAGCAGTTTGGGACTCTTCCAAGAATCCTAATTCTAAGATTTTGGAGTAGATCTGTAGCTCAGGTTGTGGGTGTTGAAGTTGGTTGGCGCGCCGAGCTGGTTTGTTGTTCCGCAGACGTTTCGTTACCGTGCTTGGTAACATCCTCAGTGCAGCCTCTGATGAAGCGTCGGTGTGTTTTCCCGCCTGGTTCGACTTCGGCTGGGACAACACCAAGATCCTGGGACAGGCTAGGCAGAGACAAGCACAAGAATTCCTGGAAGCATGGCACTCCACGAAGCATGCTATTAATAAACACATTGAACTTGAACCCGTATACATTCCACTATGGAGGAAACCCGGAAGTGAGGCAATCCATCGCAACGGACCCCAGAGTTTAAAAACCAGGCAGGAAAACACGCCGACGCTTCATCAGAGGCTGCACTGAGGATGTTACCAAGCACAGTAACGAAACGTCTGCGGAACAACAAACCAGCTCGGCAAGCCAACCAACCTGAAAATCCTAATTCTGTTACCCAATGCTTTGCTCTCTTTTCCATGTATAAAATACTGTAATACCACCCACAGCCCACTGCTTATTAGCTCAATGTTCAAAAGTTATCACAGAATTGTTATGGTGCAGGAGGCCATTTTGCCCATCATGTCTGCACCACTTCTATCACCTTGTGCCTGTCTCCTGTCTTTCCCCATACCCCTGCACACCATTTCAGTCCAAAGAATCAACCAATACCCTCTCAAATGCTTTAATTGTACCTGCCTCCACATTTCCAGGCAGTGTATTCCATACCCTAACTACTTGCTGTGTGAAAATATCTTTTCCTACATCACCCTTGCTTCGTTTGCACATCACTTTAAATCTACGCCCTCTCATTCCTTTCTCTTTTAACAGCACAAACAACTTCTCCCTGTCTACTGTGTCCAGCCCGCTCATCATTTTGAAAATCTCAATCAAGTCTCCTCTCGCCCTCTCCCAAGGAGAACAGTCCCAAATTCTTCAACCAATCCTCATCACTGAACTTTGCTTTATGTTAAACAGCTTCCTTGCAAACACTCTCTTCCCCTTCCCCTCCCAGCCTCCTTCTGGATTTGTATGATGAGAAACAATTCTGCCACCTTGTGTTGTTTGATCTCTTTGCTCCCTGGTATGTTTAAAAAAAAACCTCATGATTGTTTCTATTTCTAACTTCACTTTCCTCATAATTAACTTTTAAGACCCATAGAATCCCTACAGAGTGGAAGCAGGCCATTCGGCCCATTGATCTCTACACCAACCCTTCGAAGGACACCCCACCCAGACCATCCCACCCCTGCAACCCTGCATTTCCCACGACTAATCCACCTAGTCTGCACATTATGGCGAATTCAGCATGGCCAATCAACCTGACCTGCACATCTTTGGACTGTAGGAGGAAACCCACGTAGACACGGGGAGAATGTGCAAACTCCACACGGTCACCCGAGGGTGGAATCGAATCCAGGTCCCTGGCGCTATGAGCCACTTTTTTCTTGTTTGAATCATTTAATAGATAATAAAGCAGTGTCTGCCCTTACCGTCAGTGGTTAGTGCACACTAGCTGATGTACATATGGCATTGCAACCACACATAATATAGGCCCTACTTGAATTTGCACTAATTGCTAACTGTAAGTCAGCTACACCATAGCAGCCAAGCATATCCTTGGGCATTGTGCCTAACCTTTCAACAAATCTTGTTCTCTCCACAGTGAGTTCCCAGTTACCAACCGCTGCTCGTTAAATGGCTTTAATGCCACAATAACTCATGGATATAATCAGGGGAAATCCAAGGGCCTGCTTTGTTATCTGACATTGCTAGCTCTGCTGACAGTGAACATGTTCTGAGGATGTGCTTTTTGTTAAAATTAATGAGCAGGATGAGTGCCAGGATGTATTCCCTGTCAACTCTGCTTTCTATTTGAAGATTAAAAACGACACATTTCCCCTGTTGGGGTTGGGGGGGGGGAGGTGTGGTTCAGAGTGGGCTGATACACTTGTCTAGATCAGTGAGCGCTTCAAAACGTTTAACATCTTCAGCGAACATCCACATTACCTGCTGTTTCTCGCAGTGGTTTCGTTGGCCACACGAGAGGGGTAGGTGATTAGATGGACACCCAGACAAAACAAAGAACTGTAGACACTGGAGATCTGAAATAAAAGCAGAAATTGCTGGGGAAACTAGCAGAAGAAGAAAGCAGAGTTACAGTTTCAACACTGGTGACTCTTCATCAGAACTCTTCATCTGATCGGACTGGAAACGTTAACTCTGCTTTCTCACCACAGATGCTGCCAGACCTGCTGAGTTTCTCCAACAATTTCTATTGCTGCTTAGTTATACACCCACATTTGGTTTTGGAGGGGGTGTGAGGTGTACCTACCTATGATTATTTAGGAGTATGCACTGCGAAACTCTTCAGCCAAAACTAGGGAGATTGAAATGGGCACTGTCTTCTTGAATAAATGATGTGGAAGTGCCGGTGTTGGAGTGGGGTAGATGAGGTCAGAAGTCACACGATGCCAAGTCATTGTCCAATAGGTCTATTTGAAATCACAAGCTTTTGGAGCTCTGCCCCTTCGTCAGGTGGAGACTCAAACAAACCTGTTGGGCTAAAACCTGGTGTGGTGCAACTTCTGTTCTTGAATAAATGGTCAGTAAACCTTAACTTGTTCTTTTACAAGCTTGTAATGCCATTATGTAAATCACGGTTAAGAGCAATATCGCAGTTCCCCTGATGGTCATCTGTAAAGAGATACCATCCAACGTAGAATTAGATCACAAGGATGTGAAATTTCCAGGCTCAATTTCCATTCATTCTCTTGGTCATACTGACCCTGGGCCAGAGAGGAAGAGAAACACAGTCAGCAATCACTCTCTTGAGTGCTGCCAAAATGTGCAAGTCACACACTTCAGCACATGGGTGAGAACAGGATTTGTTGCAATGACCATGCATGACACTGGATACCCCCGCCACCCCCCAACCACTGGATATTCCTGTTGCCCCTCACTATGCAGCTCCTACACAAGGAATGCCATTTGAATAGGTACTGGGAAGAGGCGGTGGGGGTGGGGAGGGGAGAGTAGCACTGGTGCTTAAGGAACAATCAATGACTGATAAACGAGAGAGTCCCATCGCCCCACTCTCACCAAACAACACCCATTACTGAACTGTTTACATATTCTGGACATTCCCATGTATTCTCAGCCTCTTCAATGAAGAGAACCTGTAGGAGATTACTGAAGTCAATAAACCTTTCATGATCTGGGAAGACTTGTCATTTTATTTTGACTGAAGGCTAACGTCAAAGAGATGTATTCAAAGAGATCCTTGGGACACAAACCAATGGATGAATAAACTCTAAGCCATTTATTCAGCTGTGGGTTGGGGAAACTATATTCACGACTGAATTTTGAAACAGTGCTCAACCTCTGGGTACATGAATGGGAAGGGTTTAGAGGGACAGGGGCCAAATTTTGGCAAATGGGACTAGATTAATTTAGGATATCTGGTCAGCATGGACGAGTTGGACCGAAGGGTCTGTTTCCGTGCTGTACAGCTCTATGACTCTATGGCTCATGTGTGAAATGAACTGCCAGAGGATGTGATGGATGCAGGTACAGTTACAACATTTAAAAGACCTTTGGATAAGTTCATGAATAGGGAAG